GTTTTTGTATTAATTCATAAATTACTTTTCGTAAATATAGACAATGTCACTTCTAAATTAGTGGAACCGTGTGTTCGTAAACTCGTCTCGTCATTCGAAATTATTGTGCGTTAAAAGTTTCCGATTCACTTCATAGTCTGTCTCTGCTGAATTAGAATCAGTGAATGGCAATTTGCTTTCTCGAGCGAGATTCTTCAATCTTTGGCAAGACAATGCTTAGAATACCGTGGTTAAATTGAGCTTCAATGCGGTACAGGCGTCCACCCTGTTTGGAATGGTGATTGTTCGAGAGAAGGAACCAAAGCGACGTTCCGACCATCTTTGGTTTCCTTTGTCGCTTTCGCTCTTGCGTTCGTTTACAGATTCACCAGAAATCGTCAATTTTCCTTCATCGTAATGAACCTGTACGTCTTGCTTTTTGACACCAGGAAGTTCTACATCCACCTCGACGGTATCTTTGCCTTCATGAACATCAATGGCCGGTGACAAATCACCAACACGGTTCTGGCGTTGGACACGAGGAGAATAACTCAAAAAGTCAGAAAAGACGTCTTGGAAGGGGTGCAATTCAAAGAAGGGTTGGAGAGACATTGTTAATAGCGATTAGCAATAACAGTTGTAAATTTCAGATAGCAGTTAAATATCTTAGTACTGTTTGTCGATGTTGTCGATTGACTTTTACATGCTTCGAATTTATACCTACTCATCACGAGCAACTAAACGGCCTAGCACTTTCTAGATGCTGCCTTTTGGCCACCACTGGAATTCGTCGAATTTCCATGCCATTCCTTTTGTTCTTTTGTACAAATTCTGTCATTTATTCTTCTCAACTGGACATAGAAATGGCTTTTTCTTTTCTTTGCTTCTTTTTCCTTGTACTCTTTTGTTTACTGCAGCTCTCCTCGTCATTCTAGTTACCTCTAGAAGAATCATCACACATTCCTCTTTTGTACGATACACACATCAAAGGATCAACAGAAGTACCGACATTAGTACCAATCCTCATCCTAACGGTAGTGCTGCTACAAATTCTAGTGATTTTACATGCACGAACAGATGTCTACGGCCACACCTAGGCGAAAACACCAGTTCCCGTCCGATCACTGCAGTTAAGCGTCTGAGGGTCTCGTTAGTACTATGGTTGGAGACAACATGGGAATCCGGGATGCTGTAGGCTTTTTACCGCTTCGTTTTATTCTTTTTCTTTTTTTTTTGCTTATTTCTTTTGTGGCTCTTATTGTTGAAGCATATGGCTGGCATTTGGGTCGGCATGGTCCTTTGATGAAGGTAATAATAGCAGTGGAAGTTGGAAATGCAATGACTACTCTTAAATTCAAGGAAAGAACTAAAGATCTTCCTAGACTAATGAAACGAACAACAAAGATCAGAAAATAGAGTATGAAACGAATAAATAATAAGCAATTGAACGTAGCTATGCAGATACAATGACAATATCATCCAGTAATAAGCATTCTTACTATTCAATGTTGAAGAGATCAAGTAAATCAAGAAAACGGACGCCATTCAGGAGTACTCGTCATGCAAAATGCAATCTTAAAATAAATATGCAGGGACGAAATAATCGAAACATAAACACAAACATAAGCATGAAGGGAATAACCAAAACGATTGGGCAATATAATAAATAATGCTTTACTCTACGTACAAATCAACTCCTACTACTTTCCACATCCCTAGACTGACCAGGTCCCCGGCGTAACCCTGGAGATTGCTCAGAATGTTCAGTAGACGGTTGCTCGAAAGTATTATCACTACTATTATTAAATTGACATTCAGGCTCTGACGACATGCTGTTTCATGGGATAGAATTATCATCATCCGTCAAGTCGTTTCTTTCTGACGGCATTCTGAAGCCTAGAGCACTAATAATCACAGAAAAAAGCGAAGAAAGAAATGAAGATATTCCAGAAAAAAGCGCACTAATTCCAAAAAAAAGCGAGGAAAGAAATAAAGATATTCCAGAAAAAAGCGAAGAAAGAAATGAAGATATTCCAGAAACAAGCATAGTGGTTCCAGAAAGGACTAGAGGAATCAGTGTAACGATAAAATCCACCAACACTAAAAGCATCCCATTAGTAAACAACTTTAAATTACAAATCCACCAATTCACTTACATGAACAAAAAAATAAGAACATGTAGAAAGTCGCGATGACAAGAACAACTGCTACTGTAATTTGAAACCATAACCATACAGATTCTTTCATTGATTCCTTTATAAAGGGGACAAGGTATTTGTAAGAAAAGATAAAGTTCAATATAATTGAACCATTAAGGCACCAACCAAGCCGAAGAGCTTCATTCTCTTGTCTCCGTTGTGCTTCCGGGATTCTCGCAATTTTTGCCGGCCAGAAAATTAACCACAGTATCTCCTTACAGACCCGTAAAGAATTCGAGGGACCATTTCCTTGCGCCATGCGACTAGAAGCTTCTTGATGTCGTCTTCTTGAGTATGATGGTGCTGGATCTGGATCGGACTGTAAACGTAAACTACCCTTCTCCATATTGTCAACATGAGAATATGGGATTTCGCTGTATTTAGGTAAGCAGTTCTCAGAACTTGTAGAAGAGCTCAAACAAGCAACTTTTGCTGGTTCGACAGATTTTTGATGTCCTTTCTTTTCTTTTTCATTCATTTTTGTTGTAACATGGCTGTGACTAAAAGAGTTTCTTAACCACCTTTGCTTGATCACTAAGTTACTGCGAAAATTATGGATTACAAAGTAAAAGGACCAAAAAGCGTACAATTTCGAAATTAAAAAGATTCCATATCAATTTGCTTTATACATTAAAGTAGGAATGACAAAAAGAGTCTTGAAGCCCAGAAAATAAGCCCGCAATGGCAAAGACTAGAGCTTTGCAGAGGTGAAGCTGTCATCCAACCCATTTGAGATCTGGGTGATGCAGTTCGTTAAAGAGACTTATCGATAGCTAGTAAGCGCACGCTATTATATGTGTATATAATATGAATGAATGAATGAACTATCGGATATAGCTTTTGTTGGTTTCTATCGTATAAATAACATAAATTTAATAAAGACGAAAACAAAATTCACTTGTCCGTACAAATTTTGTTTACCATAGTTCGACGTCGCATCTACAAACTTTCCATGTGTTTACGGAATTGAAAATAAAACTACGAAAATGGAGAGTGTTGTAGCTTACTCAGAATCCGTTTCCCCACAGTCATAAAACCTTTTAAATCAAAAATACGCATTTTCAATTCCTTTTTCACATCATTCAAAGCAAACAGCATGGTTGTTTTGCCTAATATTCCTTTGTTTACTATTTGTAATAAACAGTGACTCTTTTGGATTATACTATTACGAGAAATCGCAACGAGGATGTGACCAGTCGGTGACATAATGTCGCAGCTTTTATGAAACGAGACATGCGAAAAGCCACTACCATGAGTTTTTAAACTTGTATCTTTGGTTTTAAAGAAAAGTTTCAGCTGTAAAATTTGGTTGCTTTTTGGAACAAGCTCCAATTCCTATTTTTAAAGACTCTGCACCAATTGGAACTAACTCTTAAGAACTTTTCTTGGTGATTCTAGTCGATTTCTTTTTCAACTTTAAATATTGCCGTTCATTTTTGGTTTTTGGCTTGTCATTGCAAAAATGAAGAATAAATACACACCTGTTTCAGACTCTGAAGAGTCTTCGAAAACGCTCACTGATGAAAAGGCAGACACCCGTTCTTCAGAGGGTACTCCCCCTCCGTATTCAGGTAAGATTTATTGAAATGGAAAGGTAATGGTGTTTGTTATTGAGAGTCCTTACTGAGGAATCCTATTTTAAACTTGTCGACGATTGTCAATAAACAGGGCGAATACCTTCATTCTCTCGTATACAACGAAAACTTCAGTTGCTAATACATTCATTAGCTTCAAACAAATTTATCGATTTAGAAATGGCTGACGGATCCGCTCAGAATTCCGCCGAATTATCCGAAAATAATATTAGGTCTGACCCTTCGCCAAATAAACAGTGGTGGAAAACACCTGTCATAGGAACAGTGACCATTATAACTATTATATATAATATTGTATTTATAGCCATAGTTTTTGGTTACAACGTTTCTCTGTATTCGAACACTTTTTATGGTCTTGCTGGCAGCTCTATTGGATCTATTTGTACTTCTCTCCTTGGTAAGTCTACAATATCTTGTTCAGGACCGCTCGCTAATTTTTAGCAATTCTTTATATCTGTCCGGAATGGTACAGGGAAGCTGGAAGAGCAACAAAGAAGTGCATTAAGAAATTCACACCAGCTGTATGTAAAGCGCTAATTACCCTGATAAGTTTGAATGGAGTCAGGGGGTATGTTTTGAAATTAGCAGGAGGCTTCGAATATATACATTCAGCCATGGTGTTGGTTGTTTTGGCCGTATTGAACATATGCTTGTTTGTTCTTCTCATTCGTAAGTTGCAATTTTCTATGAACCTTTCTAACCTCTTTAGGAAACCCAAATTGGATTTGGAAATATGACAGTTATCGTTCCTACAGTAAGGC